CACACACACACACACACACACACACACACACACACACACACGAGGGCAATAGTATCAGCCTTAAGTCTTATGAATCAGGACACAACAGAAAGAAGCCTTTTGATTATGGAGCATAAGGCAAGCTAACACCTCGCACAGCTCCCCTAGGTGGGATATGTGTGACATTCCTCAGGCACTCTTGGTGGCCCAAGACCAAAGGAAAGGGAGAAAACAATGGTTAACTGATAGAGATCACAGTCATGCAGGACATATGAGTCTCCATCAGTTTACAAACGTTTTAGTAAATTACAAGAAAAAGGCAATCTAATCAATAAATAGCGTAATCTCCAGAAATGTATAGACTCAGTTTCCTGGAGCCCCAAGTTAACAAAGGCAAGGAGGAAATGGCAGGTAAAATTAAATTTCCTTATAACTTGCAGCCCATTGACAAATACTTGAGACAGGCAGAGTATAACATTTCTCCAGAAATTCCCTACTGTCTTCATGTTAATGCCTTACTAGAGGGAAAAACAACCCTAGCCTGACAATAGCTAGGCCTCCAGTATTTTAGGAGTCTTCTTTAGCATATGAAAGTGCTTCTGGAAAACTCCCTTTTGCCTTGACCTCCCCCAACTCCATAGTATATAATCAGTGCCTCCTTACCAGCCCAGTGCAGCTCTTTCTGCCCAAGGGTCCTATCCCCATGCTTTAATAAAATCACCTTTTTGCAACAAAGACATTTCAAGAATTTTTTCTTGGTTCTGGACCCCCACCAACACTCCCCAAATCGCATCACTTTTACTTTTTACACCAGGGACTGAGAATGTAATCCTGGTATATGCCTCTGTTTATCAGTTTGGAACAATTACCAATGAGAGTTGTCATATGACTGAGAGAGAGAAACTTCGCTGGCATTTTAAAAAGCAACAAGATTTCTGTTTCACTGAACAATCCCACAAGATACTGTCTTCATTTTAATATAAAGTATATTAGATCTCCATACCTAGATAGAAAAATATACCCACATATAAAGAATATCCAGCTGTTAATATGCTTTTTCTCACTAAATTTGAAATAAAAAATTTGAAGATCCAAAGCTACATTAATGCAAATATCTGTCTGTTGCAAGTATACTTTTTGATTAAATTGGCATACATCAAGTACAATTAGAAAGGTTATTTATAACGAAGAAATACATAATTCTGCATCTTAATGGGGATGACAATTACAGCTGATGGTTGCTAATTAACATGACTTCTTTTGCTTTGGGTGTCAGATATTTCCTGAATGATCTTTCTTGGTGGCAATGGGCATACTTAATTCTGGAAGGCACAAAAGGGTTAATTATCAGTAACAGTTGTGCTCATAACAAATTAGTTGGTAACCTGACCAGCTCTGGTTTCACCTTGGAGACTAGAGGATCAAGTGGAATCTGTAAACTCTGACTCTGGGTCATGGCAGGAGAAGTATTTGTTGAACTCTCTGATCATAGGTGCACCCCCCACCAGGTGTTCAGAACGACAGGGAGGAAAGCCCTCTAGTCCTCTCTCCAGGGGAAGTGGGTTTGTGAGGTGTTACCTGTGCCAGTGAGGCAGAAATGCATGGCACTGTTTGGTGCCACAGCACCACGCTCTTGTGCCAAGATGACTGCCGCGCTTACTCTCTCGGACAGCTCAGGGGTGTGTGACCAATGCTGAAGGCCAGACAAAGAAGCACCGCAGCCCTCAGCACAGAAAACTATAAAGCCTCCTTTGCTTGTGCTGCAAATTATGTATTTATTTTGTTAGCATGAGATAGATGAATATTTCTACATATAAAGGTGCCCAGCTAAAATCAGGATAAGCGATATTAATGTCCTATGGTCAGTATTATTGAACCTTGAAAGCAATAAACTTTATGAGTCAATAAATATTACATTTGCAACATAGTTAACATTCCTTTACTGTCTCTAGCACTTATTACACATTGTAACCGCAAGTCTACAATACATTATTCATATTTGGGGTGTCACCAAGTGATGGATTGCTGCAGGAGAGGCTGTCCTTTAAATAAATCAACAAATAAAAATGCAAATGTTAACATTTTCAGCCACAACTTTTTCCATCTTGAATGGGGAATGAAAATTTCACATTATATTGACAGGCAGCAGAAAGAACAATTAACAGCCCACATTGTGAATGAGAAAGATGACTTTGCACGCCTGGTTTTATCACCTGCACATGGAACCATGTGGGACTCTTCTAGGTGTTAGTACTTATCAGAGAATAAACAAGAACCTTTTTCCCACCAGCATCTGTCCCACCCTCATCCTCTTTTGCAAGTTTTGAAAATTCCCAGAATTAAGGGTGGACAGGCTTTTACTCTTGTTCTCAGTACCTTCAAAGGTTTGTTAGGATGAACTGAGTTTTGTCTTATATTAAGAGTTTGTGTGTAACTGAAAAGTAGTCTATATAAAATTCCTTTTCTACACTTTGAAATAAAAATAATTCAAATAATCCTGATTCTGAAGTCTGGAAAGCAACCACTGTGCCTTCCTGGTAACTGATTTTCATAGTACTGGATCTTTTTTTTCAACTCTGCGCTTTGTATAATAGACCTATGATATGCCATCATGCACTTCTAAGGATGAAGTCCAGTGTGTTGCACATCGTTTTTATGTAGCCAAGTACTCATTATTTAAGAAACCTTTGAGAAACTATATTCAGCTGATTTGCAGTATTAAGAACTAACAGAGAATTCTTTTTTTTCGGTGCGTAAATATGAGTCTTCACAGCAAATTTAACCTGGGCTTGTAAAATTGTACAAAGTTGATATGGTCCATTCAGAAAACGTGTGCTGAGAATGTTCTACAAAATTCTTACTGGGGAAATATTTTATTCTTCCTTTTCATGCTTCTCTCTAAACTGAAATGCAATCATCAAAAACACATTAAAGTAGCATTAAGGATCTCACTTTAATCTTCAATAGGAAAATTCACTAAGATTGAAAATCCAGACCATTTCTTTTTTTATTTTTATTTCTGAGAGAGAGCATGCATGCACAAGCAGGGGAGGGGCAGAGAGAGCAAGGCAGACAGAGGATCCAAAGTGGTGTCCGTGCGGACAGCAGAGAGCCCGATGGGTGGCTCGAACCCACAAACTGAGAGGTCGTGACCTGAGCCGTGAGATCATGACCTGAGCCGAAGTAGGACACTTAACCAACTGAGCCACCCAGGTGCCCCAGAAAATCTGGATCATTTCTCCTCTTTACCTGTACCTCCTCCAGAGGAAGCCTTCAAGGCAACTGAGATGGACCTTTGAGTACAAGCATTCAGCCACACTGCTAAGTGGTCCAAGGAGGGAGCCCTCGCAACATTTCAGAACGACAGCTCTCTGTGGGTACTTGGAAAATGCTAATAATGGCAGCATTAAAAATAAAAGAAAGGAGTAATGGACAAAGAATGTGGTAAACTGGTTAAATTTTCTTTCAGTTGAGGGTCACCTTCAAAATAAGGAGGCTGTCGTTGTCAACAATTACAATATTTAAGATGATGGACTTTGGAGTCTGAAATGCTACTTCTACATCTTATTGGCTGGGTGACCTTAGACAAGTCACTCAATCTCTTAGTTTCCTAATTTTAGAAATGAGGATGATAGCAGTACCTCTTTATAAAGCAGTGATGAAGATTAAATGAGATAATTCATAAAAAGTGCTGGGTACATAATAGATGCTAATAGATGGCAACCATTATTACTGTCTTCTACATTAGAGTTATTTCCCCAAAGTTCTTTATAATTAAAATGAAGTCTTAAAATCTATATTTATCTGATAAGATGCTGAGAATTTAAGGCTCAAACAATAGTATTACCAAGAAACCCTAAACTATGCCTTTTTGGTGTTGATCTTTATATATTCAGCTTTAAATGAATAATATGGCAGTTGGCTTACTGGATGTAAGAAATTTTAATACCCTATTTCTTTCCTGAGTCCAGAAAAGGCTGATCAAACTACTAACTCTTCAGATGTTTCTAGTATCAGTAAATGTTGACAGACCCTTTAAAACTGTAATACAAAACCCACCATAATTTTCAGTATCAATTAATTCAATTAGTTAAACTTATAGTCAAAGTATATAACCATTCTGTGATAAATTGGGAAAGACCTACTGCTAAGCACATTTTCTGATGAATGATAGGATTAGCTTTGCATTTCTTTGGAAATCCTTGCCAATAACCAGTTTCAATCAAGGCAGGGCATGTATAAAGGAAAGGACTCCATGAGTTCAACCTGGCCAAATCCAGATGCTTCCACATAAGGCCTTTCTTCTGAGTAATGGTTATTAAGAATTGTCAAGACTTTCCACTCCGTATTAAGTAGCTCCTCCCAAATGCTCTTACCTAAAGAATATTAAACCCCCTCTCTCAGCTCCTCCCGTTTGCGCTCTGTCTCTCAAAAAAAAAAAATAAATAAATAAATAAAATAAACATTAAAAGAAAATAAACCACTTACCGGGAAGTGTCATGCTGCAGTGATGATGTGGTTGTGATTACAAGCTCCTTTTGGCTTCCTGTTGTCATAGGAGATGTGGACGCATCTTTTCTAATTCCTGCCAATGTCCCTGTATGAACAATAAAGGAATTAATTTGGGCTTTCACTAAAAGGAAATGGAAAAATCCATTCTGAGTAATATATTAAACATTACAAAAATCCCCAAGCTTGAAAAGTAAGCTATTTCTTTTCTCTGAAATGAAACAATGGCAGATGGAAAAACTCAGTGGGTTGTTTTGATTTTGTAAACATCAGAGATCCACAGTATCTTGTTTAAAAAAAGTACATCTGTGCAGTAACAGACTGGCTAGTGGTTTTGTTTTTAAACCTGATGGCCTGTCATCTTCCTGCTGATTTGAGTTTACTGTGAAAATGCCCAAGAAGGTAGATTGCTTTATTTTGTTCTCTTTCCCTATCCTAAGAAGAGATCTTTCTTCTCTTTGAGCCCAGGACTTTGTACCACCTAGGCCCCTAAGCTAAACCCAAAACATTCAAGGTAGGCATAAATCTTAAATATTTCTTTCAAAGAACTAGACACTGGGCTAAAACAAATGCCTGCTTGGAAGAGATGCTTACCTAACCATTCTAGGGCTGATCTGGTCTCTGTTCCTTTCTAATAAACAATGTTGAGTTGATAATTAGTTTTCTCCTCTGGAGTGCTCAATGAGATGGCATGGACAGAAAGGTTTTTCGTTTCTGTTTGTTTTCTAATTATTATTATTTCTAATGATATTATTTCTAATAATAATTTTCTCCTTCTCCTTTTCCTTCGAAGACTGTTAGAATCTCATTCACAGTTTTTCTTCTGGTTCCTGGGTAACAACTGTGTAGGCTGCTTAAAGAACTTATATGGGAAGATGTACTTTGTTTGAGGGAAGCGTAACTATTCAAGTAAGACCAAGATAGCTTTGATGTGTAGGGAATACCAGACCCTCAAATGCCAAGAATACAGTATGATAATTCTGGGAATGGCACCGTTCAGGTGTGACCAGAGAAAATCAGGTCTAGAGAAAGCAAGAGTCTTCTATCTACAGAGATTAGCATCAAAACAATCACCGTGATCCTTGGTATTCAAAAGCTATACTCAATACTAACTGTTCTTTATTATGTACTGAGGTGAAGGATGAACCACCTAAATGCACAATTCAGTCCTCTTTGTATACACAAGTTTGTGGGACCCTCAACCCAAACCAATACATTTTCATACTAGACATAAACTCCACCATTACCTATAGTGCATTCAGTCAGTAAATATTTAGCAAGTACCTAATCATGGGCAAGGGCTATTGCCAGGATTAAGCTCAGACTTAGTTTAGGGCAGGGGAAGGAAGGTGTGAGAGCAGGAACACGAGATACTCTAAACAATCTGGTAATCATAAATAACCCAAAGTAGTATAAGGTAATAACAGCTAACAGACACAACAATATGCTTAGTGTGTGCCTGGTACTTCTCTAGGCCTTTGCCATATATCATTTATCTTTTTTAAAAACAGCCTTATGGGATGGCTCGGTGGCTCAGTTGAGCATCCAATTCTTGGTTTCAGCACCGGTCATGATCTCACAGTTCGTGGGTTTGAGCTCCACATTGGACTCTGCACCCACAGCACAGAACCTGCTTGTGATTCTCTCTCTCTCCCTCCCTCTCTGTCCCTCCCCTGCTCATGCTCCAGCATGCACGCATAAATAAACAAATACACTTAAAACAAGCTTCATTATAATTTGAATGCCATAAAACTTAACCATCTTAAGCATACAGTTTGAGAAAGAGTAGATTTCTATAGCTTATGGCCACAACCCAGTTTTAAAAATATTTGTCATGAGATTCACTTGTTTCTTTTTACAATCCAGGGTTAGAATATTTTCTCACAGGGGGCCTGGGTGGCTCAGTCGGTTGACAGGCGACTCTTGATTTCAGCTCAGGTTCTGAAATCACAATTTGTGAGTTCAAGACCCACATCAGGCTCTTTGCTGACAGCACAGAGACTGCTTCAGATCCTCTGTCCCCCCTCTCTGCTCCTCCCCTGTTTGTGCTCTCTCTCTCTCAAAAAAATAAACATTAAAAAAAATGAACTTCTAACACATATTTTATAAAACTGAGTATTTCGTCACCCCTAAAAGTTCCCTTACGTGCATTTGTGGCCAGTCCCTTCTCCTTGTCTGTTCTGTTTGTATCCGTACTCTAGCTCTCTCTCTCTCTCTAGTTTTGTCGTTTCTACAAATTAGTTATATTGATCCTCATAAAAACCCTTTGCAATAGATACTCAGTTTTATATCTCATTTACAGATAGGCAAAATAAGCCATAGGGGACTTACGTGACCTGCCCAAGGCCACAAAGCTACTAAGTGAAGGAGCCAATATTCATGTCTAGATAATCTGATCCCAGAGTTTTTCACCATTAAGCTCTTCCACCATAATAAACAGAAAAGTCTGAGGAATTAAGAAGTGGAAGAGATCACATATCGCTATAGGATTTAAAAAGATTTAATGCAGGCGGTGCTATTGTGATAGGAAGGAATAAGGAGCATGGAATCAGCAAAAGCATTAAATTAGAAACCTCAAGGCTAAATATTTAATGTATTCAGGAAGTATTTATTGAGCATCACTACGTCCTTGTACCTTGCTAATCACTTTAAATCACTTTACATGCATTATCTCACTATTCCTTACAACAGTCCTTAAATTATATTATTGCCCTCATTTTCTAGATAAGGAAGGTCAAGCCCCAGGTCCAGTATCACACAGCTAGTAAGAACAAGGCTGGGTTTTGATTTTGTATGGCAAACTGATCTTAAACATTGTGCTAGGTGGCTCAAAAGTAAAACACAGCAGCAACAAACACAATTAAAAAAAAAAAAACAACAACAACAACCTGGTCTTTGGAGAGATTATTTTCGTGGCAGAACCTGGAATAGGTGGGACAGAGAGAAGGGAGGGAGGTAAAGCAGCTCACAACTCCTACAACTGTCTGGACAGAGTCCTGGGTGAGGTGAGGGGAGATTAATGGGCAAACAGGGATACGACCAACAGAAAGGGATTTGTGGGTGAGGTGAGAGGGAAGAAGAAATGCCCAGCAGTGAAAGAACATCATTATCTCTGTAATCACTACTATAGAAGACCTGAACATTATTTATTCTGTTTTGATATTTCTATCAAAAATTTAGTGGAGACAGGTGACATTTGATGGGGACAATTTAAAGAAGGAATTGTAACAGAGGGTCCAGGGACTTGCATGGCATCCATGGATACACTTTGGATTGGGAGTAACTTGTTCTGCAAGATTAGCAAACATTTCTAATAAATTTTCACTTGATAAATGAGCGATGTCTTGCAATACAAGTAGTATGTGATGCCCAATGTCACATGATCACAACTGAGCCAATGGTTCTTTTCTCTCTCTTGCTTCAGGATTGTGGGTGATCATCTGCTATGCTCAGATACTCAGTCTCAAGCAGTGGTGTTTGGCAAAAATCAGTGATTTTTCAGAATGTGGGAAGGTGCCCACAACTGGCACTAGTGTATTTTTTTGTCACTTCAAAGCACCTATGGACAGTCCTTTGCTTTTCCATACAAGAGTAAGCTTAGGAATGTTTTGCCTCATTCTAGGTCAGGCTGCCTGCAGATATAGACCTTTTCCTCTGCTGTCTTATTGCCAGTAACATTAAACATAGTATCTGACAAGAGTTTATTAATACTGTACTATAGTCAACATCCATTAGTGATAATGAAAGTCATTCTACATAATAACCCTCCTCTCTCTTGTCTCCTTCACACTAGCCACGAAGGTTTTCAACGTTTATTTATTTTTGGGACAGAGAGAGACAGAGCATGAACAGGGAAGGGGCAGAGAGAGAGGGAGACACAGAATCGGAAACAGGCTCCAGGCTCTGAGCCATCAGCCCAGAGCCCGACACGGGGCTCGAACTCACGGACAGCGAGATCGAGCCACGAAGGTTTTCAAAGGTAAGTGCAGGTTAATTTGTTTATTTTTCTTTATATTTTGTATTTTCTTTATTATTTTATATTATATTACAATATTGTAATCATTTTTATATGAATATTTTTGGGTTGTGGAGCGAATCATCGGAGTTTCCATTATTTCTTATGGGGAAATTCACTTTGATATACGAATGCTTTGGATTACAAAGCATGTTCCTGGAATGAATTATGCTTGTAAGCCAAGGTTTTACTGTACTTCATGAATGTGAGACTCCGTCATAGCTGCAGGCACAATAATGTGTGTATATGTGCTCATTCATTTTTCTAAGGAAAAGAGCCATAGTCTTCATCAAATTCTAAAAGGATATGAGACTGCTAAAAGTTAAGAACGATTGCTCTAAGACATAGGACAAGCTTATTCCTTTTTCTTGATACTCTAAATTCTATTCCTTACTAAGTTTCTGGGAAGCTAAATATCAGCTTTTAATTATGTTCATTTCTTCTATACAATTTTATTTAATATTAAGCATATCAACAATTACATATAGTTATGCATATTCATAGAACTACACATCTCTAAATTTATACACACAAAGACAATATGCATTTAAAAAATAAAAGTGCTGTTAAGAATATTATCCATTAGGCTGATAAGTTTCATAAATATGTTTGAATATGTAAATAAACACATACATATATTTTTGCACACACAGAACTGAACATAATGGAGCATATCTTATTTACATCTGGGGGGTCTATGTCCATCCATCAGTCAATATCTCATGGTAAAATAACTTCTTAAAGTTCAATTTTGAGGAAAACGCTGTTTCTGGGCCCTTTGTTTTATTTTGCATTTTAAACGTCCCTGAGTTATAGTATATATTCAGTTTCATTTAAAGAATAAATGACAGGGGCACTTGCATGGCTCAGTTGGCTAAGCACCCAACTCTCGGTTTCAGGTCAGGTCATAATCTCATGGTTTGTGAGATCAAGCCCCACACTGGGCTCTACACTGACAGCATGGAGCCTGCTTGGGATTCTCTCTCTTTCCCTCTCTCTCTGTCCCTCCCCCGCTTGCATGGGTGTGTGTTCTCTCTTTCAAGATAAACTTAAAAAGAAAGACAGAATAAATG